AAGCCGACAATGAGTCCACCTCGGCGATCATGCAATTGGATCGCGTTACGACAGTGTCTGGCTGCCATAATATCAAGCCACAAAATAAACTGAGGCTCACTACAACAGTGGCTATTCAAACAGCTAGCGGCGAACCTCGCAACCAATTGCCTCGGTGAAATTTGAGTGGTCGCGTGGAGGGGAGCCAAGCATCCTTGGCACGCCTGTGGTGGGCGATGAAGCTAGCGAGAAGGGGAAGTCGCCCCGTCTGGGATTGACGCGCATTCGTCCACACGCGCAGAACGCCACACGGGCGCCATGATCACAGGCGGACATGAGGGTTGCACCGATCTTGCATCGTGGCACCGAGCGCCAGGTTCAGTCCGATCGATGTAACCGAGAGATCCAAGCGAATATAGAGCTTCAACAGCCGCCTCCAAAACATCGCTCCCGTCGTGGTGTCCAGTCAGGTACCGTCGGGGCTTGTACAGCATGGTGAAGAGGGTGTGGAGTGAAGATCTAGCTCCGATCATTTGTCTACGACCGAATAAGTCGCTGGAACACTACGTACTCTCCTTCAAAATGCTTTTGTCAAGTGATGGTACTTGTGGGCATTGAAATCAAATCATCGTGACAGGTACGATGGAAATTGCAGTCGATCTGAAAAAAACCCTGAACAGTGCGTTGCTATAGTTCGAGTCGATACGCCGAACCCTATTTGGCAACCTGGCAGGTAGGATCGCAGACGGGCGAGCCATGACCGAGCTTCTCCTAGTATGCATCTGGTACGTATATAACTTCCAGGTATATAAGCCGAACAGGGGTGTTTTCCTACAGTTGCGGCTGACCATGATGATGATGATGATGATGTTGCATGACTCTACCGTCCAATATTTGATGGTCGAGGTTACATGCTGTGACGGAACGTCATGATTGTTTACCTCAGAAGCAAGCAACGCCGATAGAGCTGATAGTGGATCTCCCGCAAGCCTCATGGATGGCGCTTGCCGTTCTCGTCTAAGCATGCGCTCGACAAGGCATGCAGTACCGACATTGAAGCATAGCTACCTGGTGGCCAGCAGTGAATGTGCGCGCCACAGCAAGACGCGCGAGGTGAGGCTGCATGTAGCCGTGTGAAGGAGCTGAAGCGGGCTAGAAGTTGACTTGATGCAGTAGGCCATACCAAATGCACCGACGTGCATCAAATCCTGCAAAGATTCTGTGAAGGGAAAGGCCGGCGACATTGCCGACGGCAGTGCCCAATGCAAAGGACGGAAGCACCACGGAGAGTAGATGGACCATGTTCGAGTATCGCAGTAGACGCTAGACGCTAGACGTTGGCGCAGAGAGAGGTTCCAGCAGAGGCCTGCAGGTCATGACGGCGTGCTTGGACAAAGGAGACAGGTGGAGAGGAGAAGAAACGGGGTGGAGGCGTATGCAGGACGACGTTTTAGGCAGTTGGTGTGTGGTCCACTTTTCAGCGTATGCGGCTCAAGATAGCAAGCACCAGACGTATCGTTCATGTCGTTAGGCAGGGCAATATACGCGATTGGCTTGCGACTATTCTCCGTTGGCCGTGTCGCAGAGGTGAAAAAGGAAAACTCGTGACGAGCACTGACAAGTCGTTGGGGAAGGAGCAGCCTGAGCGACTGCAGGCGCGAACCTAAATTTGCCGAGCCCATGCGCCCTAAGCTCCTTCCGCGTTCCATTGCACTGGATGGCGCCGGATTGGCCGCCGAAAGGAGACGCTAGTTGGACCGCAGCCAGCATCTCTCGATGCAGCAGACTGCATAGGTGCCATGAGGGCATTGCAGCATGCAGGCACAGTTTGGTGTGACACATAGAATTCGGCAACGCTATCCTCGAAGCATCTCGGAACATTCACATCGCGCCTTTGCCTACACCAGGGGCTTCGCGACGTCAAGATGCTACCATGACCGCGGCTGCGGAACGGTCAGCCCGCGTTTGACCAACCCCACCATGTCGTTCCCTTTGCGAGAGCCTCGTATTGGACGAGTGGGAGCAACTCCCCACCCGGCCTGATCGTGCCACGATCGAGCATATCTTTTGCTCCATCTGTACGGCTGCCGTCCACTTTCGCTCTTGTCGGTCCAGGAAGGCAAGACCGCGAGACGGCTACACGCTGCTGGGTGTTGTACACTACCGCAGCTGGTGGAGATACGCTCAGCTCCTCCTGTAGCCAAAGTTTATTCTCCACTGGGCCCAGCATGTCCTGAGAATCAGTATAAGACGGACGATAGATCTGCGTCATTAGCGTCCTCACAGTAGCAACAAGCAAACCCTGAGATCGTTCCTTCTCCAGTGACCAACCCTCAAGCGACTTCTGTTTCCCTCCAAGCCTTACTTGCTTTTGCCAGCCACACATCGAGATACCTTGAACACACTCGCTTTCGAGTCCGATCCTACCTTAGCCTCAATCGATATCCTGCCGCAAGCATCCAGGTCAGTACTTCACCTCGCTCACTATATCTAGTCTTCCTGCCCCAGCATCTTACTCTCCAATGCAGACAGTCGTTCCCGTTGAACCCACGCCTTCCACCAATTCTTCTACATCGCCATGGCTCACCCCGCAGGCTGCTCACATAGCTTCAAGTTGATCAAGTCGGACACCACTATCGTCCTCTGGAATTGTCACTTGTGCCTCGCCCAACAGCTTCCTTTCATCTATGAGTGCGAGCGATGCAAACTCAAGACTTGCCAGGCTTGCGCAGCCAAAGCATAGGTGAGTCCAACAACCCTTTCGGCTAGGCCCTCCCTACGATAGGACTGGCTCCTTCGACACAAGGCACGTGCGAACGTGTTGCAAAGGATTGCTCGTAAAATGCAACATGTAGGTGCTGACTCGTTGGTTGCAGATGGAATGCATAGATCGCCGACTACGATCCAAAGCACCCGAGATCCCGGTACCCAGATGCGGGCTGTCATTGGCGCCTCACGATCCTTCAAAATAATTATACGACACGCACTTCCGATACGATCTCACTCAACATCTATCGCGTTAGCATTTTTACCCTAGCACGGCGTTCAGGCATTCAGACTTTTCCTGTCACCATAATCGAGGGGGACAATATCCCGAAACGGCCAAATTCCTTGCAGGAGTCGACTTTACGACTCGCTGAACAGAAGCAAAAGGGTACCCGCTTTTGCAAGGGTTTCAGGCTGAACAGGGCCTGCGCAGCAAGGCCGATGGCGATTGCCGTTATAACCCGTCTGTCAGATCCTACGTTATTTGGTTTTCCTCAAGCGTATTACGGCCGACAACTACACACGGCCCCTTATTTCCTTTGTCGCTTTACAATACAATGACCGGTGCAAACCAGCAAGCCATCATGTCTTCACTTTCTGCCCCAATATTCGGTATTATCGGGAGGCCAGGACTGCCATCTCAATTGTCTACTTCAAGCTCCATGTACATCTAGACGCCTATCGGTGGGGTTACTGTTTCACATACCCATGGAGCGGCACGCCTTGGCGGCTTAATAGACTACTTCATATCATACCCAGATCGACTACACTGGCCCGTCCAGATTCTGCATTTTGCGGCAGGAGCTGCGGTTATCATTTCGTGCTATACCGTGTCAAATTAGCTCATGCGTATTGACCAGCACCGCTGTAGGATTTCGCCTCGTCCTGAATGCCTCACTTTATACCATGTCCCTAGATTAGCACCTACATTACCTCAATATTACATAGTAAATCACCTATGGGCCTGTCCATTGCTAACATGAGCTTTAGAAGAGTTCAACCCAGGCGGTAAATTAGACGCTTAACGAGTGTTCATCGCTTAAATGCCAACAGCTTTCTTTCTTTCTTTCAAGACCCACTGTTTCCGACCGACTGCGCAAGAGATCTGGGCATGGGCGTGCCGCTTCAAGGGCTCAGCATAATTACAGTTTCAGCGCGCATCTCGGAGGCTGAGAAAAGTAGATATCGCGAGCCGTCTTGTCGTGTCGCAGGACAGTCTGAATCCAGGATGGTGGATACTTTCGCCGCATTCGGGCCTGAAAGCAGTGACTCGACTGCCGCCGAGAGGAGATGTATTAGAAAGGCATGGCTTCGTCGCCTCAAAGCAGAATGTGCCTAGTCTATGCTGATACTAATTTGAAAGCCATCCTATCACACTACATATCCAGCATCACTTTGAGCGGCGAAGCAAGGCTCCTGAATCGCACAAAGAGATTTCGAAAGAAAATCCCACAGATCTATCGCATCCATGTATCCGTCAGCGAGAGCAGACAGTCAATTAGCGTGCATCGTGAAGGTACCTACCAAACAGGTATTCTTCATATATGGGTAGTGATATAAAATTGTTGGTGAGATCATGGAACCTGAAGTCGACGTTCAAGGACAGTACAAAAATGATGGGGGAGGCGAATGTCGCTCACGCCTCCCCTTTTGCCAGGCTAGCCCCGCGATTTCAGCCACGTATCCACACCCAGTTCGTGGCCTACACTAAAGCACACTCTGCATAGCAAAGTTGACTAACAATTAACACCGCTTACTCTGCGTGTTGTTAACTGGTCCCTAGATCTCACCCTGCATTCTCCTTCCCTGTTGCACTTTCCGCTGTTACCTGGCCCACGATGCTGCCTTACGCAAAGAGGGACAGCCTTAGCCACGTTGCACAAGTTCAAGGCGCCACAGCAGCTACACAGTCGATAGAAGATCATGAGCTTCCAATCACCCGATGCAGCATCATGCGCCGAAGATATCATTCGAGCCAGTTGGACGTCTTGTCCAGCCGCACAACGCCGTAAGCAGCCAATGCTGCAAGCCAGGCAAGATGGCCCCCAAACCTTCGAAACGCAATATAGTCAACCTTTCCAAGGCAGGTTTATCTTCAACCCGTTCGTAGCTCCTTTCCTCAGCTTTCTTCTATCGTGACTTCTTTCCGGAAAATTCCTGCCGTCAACTCTTTACAATATCGATACAGCTGCTTCTCCTGGCGAGACATTACAGCCGCAGTGTAACATTGGTTCTTCAGCAGAGCAAAAGCAATCATGACCTCTGTGAAAAGCGACGACACGCAGATTGGCGCTCCCCAAGAGGCCATTAATGAGTTTTGGGACAACCTCATCACGAAGCAACCGGCAAAGGTGACCAAGATCTTTCCGTCGAGTTTGTACGCCCATCTGCTCCCCCCGCAGCGAAAAGAGGGCACTGTCACAGGAAAGAATGCGGCTGAATCGTACGAAACGGCAGCTGCGCAATGTCGCGCTCGCGTTGAACGTGCCGTCAAGGAATGTAAACGTACGAACGAGAAGTTTACAGATGCAGACTTCGATATTGAAGATCTATCGAACAGAAACTGCCTTGAGGGTCTCATGACTTGGTACAAAGACCCACCGACAGCAACACCATCAGTGAGCGCATCGCGACTGGGCAACGCCCTCTCGACTCTGGTCCAAAGTGGAGTAATCATGGGTGATGGTGCAGCATTCGACTTCAATACTACGGCCAAGCTGCTGACCAACAGGTCGGGCAACAGTAAAGATGGTCCGAATTCCGTGCATCGCGTTGACTGGATCTTTGACGAGCCAAAATTCGAACTTGACGGATTCTCTAGCTCCGATTTACGACAAGGCTCGAGTGGTGATTGTTGGTTCATTGCTGCCGTTGCGACCATCTGCAGCAACCCTAATTTGATGAACAAGATCTGTGTTGCTAGAGACGAGATGTGCGGCGTCTACGGCTTCGTCTTCTACAGAGATGGAGAGTGGATCTGGACTGTCATCGATGACAACTTGTACCTCCGGTGTAGCGACTTCGACACCGCCTGGGGTGACCGCTATGACCCAACAAATGCCAAGGAGACGAAGTATAAGGAAAATAACCAGACTGGATCCGAAGCGCTATATTTCGCCTCATGTGCTGATGAGAACGAGACATGGCTCCCATTGTTGGAGAAGGCTTACGCTAAAGGTACGCGAGACTTTTGCTGATAGCGATTACTGAGAGTGTAAGTGTAACCTGCTAACAAACGTCAGTGCACGGAGACTACGATTCTATTGCCGGCGGCTGGAGCGGCGAAGCGGTGGAAGATCTGACAGGAGGTGTCACAACAAAGATTCTCACTGATCGAGTTCTGGACAAACAGCGACTGTGGGAAGAACTGCTTCAAGCCGGGAAAAAGTTCCTTTTCTCAGCATCATCGCCTGGTATGGATGGAGACGACTCAGATGCTCGAAGAGGTCTCGCCCTAAGTCACGCTTATTCCATCCTCAAAGCAGTGGACGCTGAGGGAGAAGACGGCAAGAAGTATCAGCTGGTCTTGATACGCAACCCTTGGGGTAAACGAGCAAATGCCTCCATGGTAAATGTCCCTATACGAATTGCATGTGAGACATAAACTGACGTCGTACACCCAATTTAGGGTGAGTGGACAGGACCATGGTCGGACGGATCTCGTGAATGGAATGCTTACTGGCTGGACAAGCTGGGCCACAAATTCGGGGATGATGGTCTGTTCTGGATGTCTTATAAAGATCTGCTGAAGCGATTTGATCTCCTTGACCGCACGCGTCTTTTCAACGAGGAATGGACTGTAGTGCAGCGCTGGACAAGCGTGCCGGTGGCATGGGTGACGGGCTATGTGAACACAAAGTTCTCAGTTGAGATCAAGAAATCTGGGCCGACCGTCTTCGTCCTATGCCAGGTAAGTGTCAGAGCATCGTCATCAACAAGAGACGCTAATTTTCCGTAGCTAGACGAGCGCTACTTCAAAGGTCTGGAGGGTAAATACAACTTCGACTTGCACTTCATATTGCAAGAGAAGAATGCTGAAGCGGGCCACCACATTGTACGCGCTCGCGGTGCTTGGTTCGGCAATCGTAGCATCTCCGCTGAAGTTGAGCTTGAAGCTGGAGCATACGAAGTTCTCCCGAAGATCGAAGCATCGAGAGACGCAGATGCTCCGGACGCCCCAGAGGTCGTCACTAAACTAGCAGAACGCAACCCGCAAAAGCTTAGGCAGATTGGCCTGAATTACGACATTGCCAATGCCAAGGGTGTCTTTGAACTCTCTGAGGAAGAGCAGAAGAAGAAAGAACAGAAGAGGAGAGAGATAGCCGAGAAGAAGAAAGAGAAGAAGGAAGCAAGAGAAAAAGAGAAAGCAGAGTTTGAAGCTTGGAGAAAGGAGAAGATAGACTTTGAAGCCTGGAAGAAGGAAGAGAGAGCCGAGTATGATGCTTGGAAGAAAGAGAAGAAAGAACACGAGATGGGAGAGAAGGTTGAAGAAGCAAGCAAGCCCGAGAAAGTGCTCCAGGACAGCGTTTCGCCCACAACGCAAACTGATGCCACTGCTGGTGCGACCGAGGACGTTCGTCAGGACACTGACGAACCCACCCCGTCTAATGCAGATGACAGGCCAAGCTCTCCCACTATTCTCTCAGTTCAGCTCGAAGGCTCTCTAGACAAGAACGAGCCAGCTACTGAGCCCGCACTTGAACCGCGCGAGTCCAGCGACAATGGAGAGGCAAACCATACACCCACCTCCGAGGTCCATCCTGATGATCCCGAAAGCGATGACCCCAACCCCAGCAGCAGCACATCTCCTCAAACTCGTATCATCCGTTCACAGCCTTCAATCGCATCTCATCACCGCCCTCTACCACCGCCAGACTACCGCGGCTTCCCAAATTATGCTGTTTCTGGCGAAGTACCCCCTCCCCCTCCACCAGTTACTCCTGCGAAGGAATTGCCCAAGCCATGGAACGCGGTGTGTGTACTCGGTTTGAGAGTGTATAGTCAGGATCCTGAGGTGAGCATCAAATTGGTGAAGCCGAAAGATGTCGAAGAAGGTGCAATCTTGGATGTTGATGGGGATACGGCGGCGGGGGCGACGATGTGACTGTGCCAAGGGAGGGTTTGAGGTATGCGTATATGTATATGAGTATGGGAGGTATACTGTAGGTGAATCAATATGATTTGGTCACATGTCTTACAATGACTTTCTTCTTCTGTTGATATCATATGTTCATTGTTATCGATATAGGGTTCTGAGTTTCATCACATCATGTATTGAACGCCACACCGTGGGCGGTACTGGCAATCATCAATCGCTTTCCCCATTGCCGACAATTCCCTTATTCAGCCAACTTAACGCCGTTCAGCATAATTGCAGCCCTGATCTGAGTTCCATTTCCGACGTCGAAGTTGTCTCGTACGGCCATACCCTCAGCGCTCATCACATCCTGGAAGCCGACCTGCGCACTTCCAAACTCTACATTCTTGTTTAGTAGCGCAATCTTGAAGGCACCCGGGTTCGCCAGCATCCCCGTAGTTAGCGGGATACGGAATGCTTGATCGAATGACGGGTTGAAGATATCGGTGCCGGGAGTGTAGGTCTTCGCCGCCGTTTGGAAGGCCTTGTCACCCCAAGTAACCTTGACGCTGGGGTTGAGCTCGTCGCGGTTGCCCTGAAGTCCGTTGGCACTGGCAATGAGTACGGTGGCTAGACCACAGATCTGGCTGTCGGCTTGGCCTTGAGCACTGGCAGAAGAGAGGATCTGGGCGTCAGTGACAAAGTTGTAGAATTTGGCGTGGATCAGTAGTCGCGCTTGGGTAGCGTTTCCCTTGTGTGAGAGGCTCAGATCCTGTGAACCGCCCTTGAGAAGGATCTCCTTGACAGTGGTGGAGCCGACACCTATGTCGTCGTCACCAGCCAAGTCATCGTCCTGGATATCCACGGAGATATTCTGCTCATAGTCTGACACCAAGAAGTCGTGGGTCTCGTTCCACTCTGGCTCGTGGTTATTATCCACTACGCTCGTCTTCCACTCCTCTTCCGCGCCTACTTTGACCTTGACGTAGCAATCTGGTACGTCCTCCAGCTTAACTTTGGAGAGTAGTTTCCTCATCGTGCTCTTCTTCTCGCCCTTCTTAGGAGCATCAATTCCAGTTGCTCGGGCTACGGTGATACGAATGATACCGTGGTGAGGCTGGTGAGCCTTGAAGTAATCGACGTCATTCATCATCTTGACGAGGAAGCGGTTGGGCAGTACGGCCATTCCATCGATAATACCAAGAATGGTTTTGCGGACTGTGCTGTCAATAACAGAGAAATCGGCAATGTTTGCGGCGTCGGTAAAGTCAAGCTGGAGACTTGGTGTGTTGAGGAAGGCGATTTGTGCTGCACCAATCTGATTTTGGCATCAGTATGCATTCGGGTGATTTGAGGGTGGAGTTGGTACTCACTAGGGGAATGACATTCGTCAACGGGCACAACAGTACGCTAATTCGGCCCTTCATGTGAACCCTCTCGACGCCCTTTGCAACGCATCAGCCATAAATCAATGAAACCCATCGAGCATATTCGAAACATACCACTTTCGGAACCATCTTGCCGTCGAGTTCAAAGTCGCACACACCCTCCCAATTCATATCCATGTCGAGCTTGATGCCATCATTCTTGGTCTTGTGAACATCCACGTTGGAAAAGCCAATGGGGATGTGACCGAAGTCAATTTTGGTGAAACGTAGGTTTCCAAGCGGGCCAGGTAGCGTCGAGGCGAGGATGGGCTCGATAGTCTCTTTGATGATGTTGGAGCCTGCGACGCAGATGTTTGGCCAAAGGTTCTTGACGATGTCGTTGAGGAACCCTGGAACATATGAGTTAGCAAATATCGTGCGGCAGATTTGCTTGTTTGCAAGGTTGAGACATGTGTCGTATTGCTCTCGAGCATCACTCACCTGCTGGTTCAGCCCCACCAGAGGCTGTCAAGGCATCGACAAGAGATGCAGGCGCTTGGTTAGCCATGGTGTCCGATCAATTTATCTTTCTCTGTGTCCAATTTGGTGGTGGTTGAGCTTCCTAGGTCTTGTAGCTCGAAACAGTACTAGTTCGTGCTCAAAGGTGGCAGGGTTCAGAGGGTAGAGAGTTTGATTGAAGAGAAGCTCGAGGAAGGCTGATCACCAGTTTTGAAGCTCGTCAATTGGCACGCTCCACCACGTGTCGTCCCTGTTTGTTCTTACCTGATCTTGGAAAGACCCAGTTTGACGTCACTTCTAAAACGCGCCATGCTGCAAGTTAAAGGTTAAACCCCGCAGTGGCAGTGAAAGCCACATGTTGAAGCCACAGACACGTGTCGTGCCTCCCACTCACGCTCCAGCCACTGTTGGCTTCATCGGCACTTTAGGTCAGGAAACCCCGTTGATTCACTCTGAAAGCATGCCTAACCGTTTCTGATGCTTTAACTATCTGCATCCTAGTTACACGTGTTGTGTTGATCGCCACATCCAATACGCCACAGAGACGCCACACCTTCCTTTTCATCCTCCATGCATGCTGCTGCCGCGGTCACCTCGCTATCGGAGATCGTTGCATCACAACCCTGACCACGTGGAGATAATCATGGCGCTGTCGCTAATCGATCAGAAGCCACTGTCAAACCCTGTAAATATCCCACATCGGTTACACCGAACCGTCTTTTGGTGGCTGGCTATGTGTGAACAACGTGCATGAGAACTCGATTTGCTTTTACGGGCCGCTGTCAGACACCAAGGGTCTAAGATATCACGGGACGGCCCTATTACACCGGTAAGCAAGGCCTGTCTGATGGCTTAAGCTATGTTCTAAGGTTTGCAGGAGCATTTGTAACCGAACTTCATCCTCTCATCTCGTTACGAATACAAGCCTCTATCACATGCACCCATGTCTTAAGGCTTATCCCTCGACTGCAATTGGATCGCACATCGAGCTCGAAACGGGACGCGAGAGATTGGCGAGCGGAGACGGGGAAACGGTTCTTGAGCCGAAGGAACTGAGCGATCGATCTCTGCACAGGAGGAAATTGACGATGGATCAGATTGTAGTGTTCAAGTGGATCTATCGAAAAAGCAAATGAAAGGCATATCGCAGTTCTTTTGCTAACCAACAACAGCCCAGCAGCAACACTTCATCATTTTTTACGGCGGCAGCGGCTTGCCATTCGGCGTCAGTCCATCACAAGCCCTCTCCAACACGCTTGCGTCGATGCTTTGCACAACCTCTCCATCGTAAGCAAGCAACACCCCTTCACCACTCGGCGCGTAAGCTTCCCACCCTAACTCTGGTAGGCCATTGACTGGGTCCTTGGCGAAGGCAAGGTAGTAATCCTGTGCTTGCTCGCTTACTTCTCTTTGGAAATCCGTACCGTTACCTCTCGCGATACCGTAAGTGCCAAAATATAGCGGGAGATCAGAGGAGTGATATGCTCCCTGCCAGAACTGCGGTGAGATGTTGCTGAAGTTCCCGCCGTAAAGGTAGCGGAATGTTGTCGTATTGGCTGCATTACGGTCATGGGTTGTCTGTGTGACAGGGCAAAGAAACAACGAAGCAGTTACAGCATCTGCTTGGGCCTGATCAGGACCGTACGTTTGATTGTACGGAGGAAATGCGATACCCTCGTTGGTTGTAGTACCGATAATCGCCGGTTTGCGCGTGAAATTTCCAGCAAGAGCGCGTGCCGTGTAGTTTGCGAAAACCGTGCGGTCGTCGACTACTGGAACAAACCTTAGAGCAGGTGTCGTGCCATTGTCGGAGTATCCCTTCAGGAACAACTCGATGTCGCTGGACTCGATCTTGCGCAGGCAATTGATTTCAGCATCTGGGTCGGCATCGTCACAACCAAAATGCTGAGCGACGAATGTGAAGTTTGATTGCTGAGTATCAGCGCTAGCGATTGACAAGAAAGCTGATCCGGAGTTCATAATCAAGCCTGAAACGATTGGGTCCTCCGGGTAAGCGAAGTTGTAGTAGTCGACAGAGATCGCGCCTGCAGACTGGCCCCAGAGAGTAATACGGTCTGGATCACCCCCAAATTTACCGATGTTGTCGCGGCTGGAATGAGTAAGTTTCTGCTTTATCTAAATTTTACTTCTGAGCACTTACATCCATTCAAGAGCGAGACGCTGATCCAAGAAGGCCAGATTTTGCTCGTCATCCGCAAGGGCTTTGGCATTAGGGAAGCCGAATATATTCAAACGGTAGCTGTAGTTTTGGTTAATTGCATGTCACATCGTATACGCCTATTTAGACTTACTTGATTCCAACGACAATATGATCTCCAGATCTTTCTACCCATCTGGCAGGAATCTGGTAGGGCACCGTGGGTCCGCCGGTCACAAAACCCCCACCATGAATCCAGACCACCACCGGTAACGGCTCTTCGCATTGTTCCAAAGGAGCCCAGACGTTGAGGTTTAGGCAGTCCTCTCCTTGGTAGTCCCGCGGCGAGATGATGAACTCCGGCGCATCCGTGAGCCAGACATTAGGTGCATCGCCCTCAAACTGAGGACAAGCATGGCCTAGAGATGTCGCTTTAATTGTTTCATTCTCTCTTGACTTTGGAGCTGGAGGTAGCCATCGCCGTGCTCCTACGGGCTGTTCCGCAAACGGTATACCGAGGTACTGTGCAACATTTGGTGTGATGTCATCTGTAAAGCCTTGAACTGGTCCGGAAGACGTGTCAATGTCCAAAGAGCTAACAGCAGTCACAGCTTGAAGCTGACTGAGTCCGAGGAGAAGTGCTGCAGCGAGCGCCATGATGGATTGAAGGATTGCTGAGTTGCAGGTCGCTTCTACCCCATCATCGTAATTTGTACTTTTCCCAATGCCTCAAAGGACTACAGATCAACATCGTCGCTAGTCATGTCATAGCCCCATGCACTGCATCGGGGCTCTTGGACCGATGGGGTTGCGATGCAGGGTTTTCACTGAACTCTTGGATGCTGTCACCGCCATTGCGATACTCTGAGCTCTTTCACAGTGAGAAAGAGATAAAACACAAGAGCAAACCGAAAGTCTTCAAAACACATCCTAATGACGATGCATGGTCGTGATGGCCCTCCATACTTCGTCTTGACGAAGTACAAGCTCGGCCGATGATAATCCGGGGCAAGCGCCGTTCCCCACACTTTCCCCACTCTGTACTCGGTATCGTCACCGAACGGGCAACCATCATAAGTGCGGCATGTTCCAACGGCTTTACGAGGTCAGACCTCGGGAACCCAAGCCTTACCCTGATTCAAGCTCGTTGTTCGGAATTCAACATGAAAGTTCTTATTACTGGAGCCGGCGGTTTTGTCGGCCAGATCCTGGCAAAAAGACTCGTCGAAACAAACACCGCCGATGCACTCATCTTAGCCGACGTTAATCCACCTCCAAATCCAACATCGTCGCAAAGCGTACAATGTACGGCGGCAGACCTCACTTCACTATCAGCTTGCGAGGACCTCATCGCTCAAGAACCAGATGCTGTGTATATTCTCCACGGCATCATGTCGAGCGGTAGCGAAGCAAACCTCGAGCTAGGCCTAAAAGTTAACTTTGAGTCTGTGCGCCAACTACTAGACACAATTCGGACCAAGCGACCAGGGATCAAAGTGGTGTTCACCTCTTCTTGCGCAGTTTTTGGTCGAAAGGCAGTGGAGAATGTCGCAACAGAGACGGATATCGTGCCGATGCCCGAGTCCAGCTATGGCACTCAGAAGCTCATGATTGAGTTTCTCCTCAATGACTACTCGCGACGCGGGCTCATTGACGGACGTGTCGTTCGTCTACCGACTGTCTTTGTGAGAGCCGGCGCACCTACTGCTGCAGCTTCGTCATTCGTCTCGGGTATCATACGTGAGCCAGTACATGGGCAGGAGTCGGAGTTACCAGTCGACCCAAGTATTGGTATCTGGCTTACTTCGCCGCGCACGTTGGCGACAAATCTCGTACATGCTATCAAGGTACCAGCGGAGAAGTTCGGGCACTTCAGGCAGGTACTGCTACCAGGTTATACAGCTACGAGCGGAGAGATCTTGGATGCTCTAGAAAAGGTCGCGGGTAAGGAGACAAGAGCTTTGGTAAAGGAGAAAAGGGATGAGACGACACAGAGGATCGTATTAAGCTGGCCGGCGAAGTACGACACTGCGAGAGCGAGAGAACTGGGTTTTAGTGAAGACGTTGGGCTTGAACAGACGATTCGCGATTTCATTGATGGAGAGAAGCAAAAAGCGTAACAACAGGATCTATCGACGGCTTCGCCTAGCAAATACGCATATGTTAGACATGCAGCTTCATGGAGGACACAGATGAAGTTGGCACAAAGAGTTGGTCAAGTGTCGTAGCAAATCGTTCATTCATTCTTTACTAATTATTGAATGCTTGAAATATCTCATCTTACTAACCACTCCAACTATCTTCCCACTATCTTCCATTTCGTCCATTCTAACCGTAGACAGGCGACTTGGTGTAACCAGGGAACTGCTGAAGAAGCTTCTTGTCGAGAGTCGCCAACTTTGGGCAACCCAACTGTCCGACAAGACCCCCAACGGCACTGGTGAGCGCATTGAGAGGTCCGAGAAGGATGTCTGGTTTGGCTTGTGCGGAGGCTTGGTAGACGAAGCAGCCGAGGTTGTTTCCCTCGAGGAGTGACGCACCGTTGAAGACACCACCAGTCAAATCGGCGACGTCGACACCGACGAAAGAGTTGGGTGTACCTGTATTTCCGCCAATATCGAGGAACTTGGGGTGGAGAACAGCAGCGTTGACAGCATCTGCAAGGAAGTATGTGGTCTCATAGGGGTACTCAAGAGCACGTCGGTACCAGTTCTCTGGGATGCGCTCTCCGCCTTGCACTGCTTTGTAGTTTCCATTGGTACCCTGAATACCGAACCATGACTGAATGACATCGTAAGGAAGAATACCAGTGGGGTTCTCAGCAGTATGGTTGGCCATGAAGCGGAAGATGAAGGTGTACGCAGCAGGTTGCACCAACACACCGGAGAATGGTCCGTTGAAAAAGTTGGGGTTGGTTTGCTTCTGCACATCGAAGCGATGGCTTCTGAAGCTAGTTAAGCTTTCGATAGTGACTACACCACCAGGTGAGTAGTCAATTAACTCCTGGAACTGGCTAGTGACAGTCTTGTAGTTGTTACCGGCCTGGTAAAGATCGGGTCGTGTTGGCGAGGCATCGGCTTCGTATTTATTATGCGAACCGCTCAGACCGTTACCTAGGATACCTGTCGGGCCTCCTTGAGCAAGGGATGGTGTGCCACCGATAGACCAGTTCAACAGGTCGCCATCAAGGGCGCCACCGAGAACTGAGAGGAAGGTCGCAAGGACGGGACCCATGCCTACGACCTTCTGCGTTACCTCGATGTATTGTGCAACATTGGCGTATCCGTTGTGGGGAAGGAAGTTGTGGTTGGCGAAGGCGTTGAGACCGGGGCATGGCCCTCTGAGGTCGTTCGGTCCAGGTGCAACATACTCATGACCGCTGCCAGCACTAATGTTGATGTATTGTGCCTTCGCGTTGAAGATGGGTACTGGCTCAAAGATAGCTGTCGCGGCACCGGCACCGGCTTGACGTCCTTCCACCTTCATCAACCTCGCAGCCTCTTCGGCGCGCTTGAGGAGCTCAGGATCATGTCCAGCAGCATCGAGAATGGCAGTTGGCCAGGCGGAGGCGAGAGGCGCCGCGGCAATCAAAGCCAAGTGAAGAGAAGAGAAATGCATGTTTGTGATTGATGGGTAGACTTGATGTTGATAATGAAGTGTAGACGGAATGGTTGGGCATACTACATACTACTCTACATGCACGCATTCAGCAGTTGCTATCGCGTCTCTTGTCACCCAGTATCTTGAATGACGTGCATTGGCGACGTGTGAAAGAACCGCGGTTGACCAGCTTGCTGAACAGGACCCCGCTGTCGATCTCTGTAGTCGATAGTACACAACGTGTGCCGGTCATGTCTCAGGGACGCTTTTGGTCGTGAAGGGCCGGGAATAGCTGACAACCCATCGTCTCTGATTCGTGGCTCGTTCTCCAACTGAACCTTAGAGGTCGAACTATTACACATGAGTCCGGGGTAGTGCCCGAAAGAAAGGATCAGATGGTGGAGAGTGTGGGACTGTGGCTAATGTTAAGCAAACGCCACCCACGCCGAACGTGAGCCATCTACGAAATTCGTGACGCTAACGTCCTTGAGATTCTAAGACCTGACTGAAATCTATATGCAGGATGCGGTAGTTGGCGGTACTTGCCAGGGGTACAGGCCGGATGTAGGCCAACCCGGGCCAACAGGATAAAAGCCCTATCCAATCATGGGTAACGGCGATCTTCCTTCATCCCAAAGCGATGGGGGATCTGCAAAAGGTTGCCGTCTGGTGTCATTCAGACAACTCTGGCCGCTATCTGTCAACCAACTTGGGGGTAAAAATATGGAAAGTTGCCTCGGCCAAAGCGCACTGTACCAATGGCGATAGAGTTAATGGTAAACTCTCTCCCTCTCCGCCTATGCTGCCAGGGTAATATGTCCAGACTCTTGAACGATCGTGAGGCATACTAACGGAAGACTAGTGTCTTTGGGTCATTGACGAAGGCGCTCTTGCAAAACTGTGTGGCTATGAAGCGGGTTGCGCAAAATGACGAGCAGAGTTGCAGCACAACGCTACGTTACCGGCGGAAGTCGGCTGGATAACTCCAACAATGACCCTTTACCAGGCATCTTGTGTTGTTTCCCTGCCACAAAAAATGCGTTTGGGCAGAGAATTGTTAGATGCCACCTTACTTTGTTATGATTCAGAAACACTAGCACTTTTCGTTCGCTCGAACTTGGAAGCTCCACAGGCTCTTGCCCATTTGCCCCGGTCTACCGAAGCCGATTCCTCCCGTCAGGAGTGTCACCACGTCAAACGTCGCCGATATCCATAGCATGACTGGGAAGTACCATGTGAGCATATGGCAAAAATGGTCTCATCAAAGTGTGCGCTGTCATCGAGCATGAGTCTATGGCCAATTAGAGTGTTGCGTTTCAAGCGCAATTATAGACACCACCAGACAACATAGCACCATGCCCTCGGTAAGGACCAAAGTTAAGGAAGGTTCATGGTACCAATAGACTGAAAAGCTCTTCATCCCCCCCTGTGGACATCGAAGTAGCGTCTAGATCTTTGTCGATTGATGTAGAGCTCTGAGATTGGGTTTGGCGGGAGCGTCAGAAGCGTCATGACATCAGTGAGATGGTTCAACATTCTGGTGGCGTTTTTCATTGATGCCGTTGTAACTTCTCGACCGCACGTAACATGGCAGTCTCCGCGGCCAGGATATCTTGAAGACCTTGAATTTGTCTCTGTGACACTACCCATCGCGCGATGGCCAAGAAGCACAACCGAGTGATCCTACACTTTCATGAAGTTTGTTTACACCGGGGAGTTGAGACTGAATCATACTTTCCAATGACGCAAAAGTCATCTATGAGTGAGATACGTATGCCCGCACAGTCTACACAGTCCATCACCTCCATAAATACAGTCTTTAACTCCTCCTCGATGGTCGCTGCCCCCATGAACAAGCTCCTCTGAATTTGACACAGTTTGAATAAAGCTGTTCCTACCCACATGTCCCAAACTGCGGCTGGCAACCCCACGACAACCTACAGTAGTCATCCTGCCCATTGCCACACCATCCATAGCTTGAACAGCATCTCCCGAAAGTACTACCCGTACAAGTCTGGCCATTCCCATCTGCTCCACACCTTCCATTAGTACTGACATTGGTCGGGATAGGCGCTGCAGAAGAGGTCGGACTAGGCGTTGGTGTCGGCGTTGGAGTGGGAGTGGGAGTCGGTGTGGGCGATGGCCTGGTTGAAGAACTGCTGGGGGGAACAGGGATAGGGACAGAGGAAGAAGAGCCCGGCGGCGGTGGTACCACACCACCGCAAGTTCCAAAGCCGAGGCGACATCCAGTGCCGCAGAAGTCAAGGGAGTTACCGCAGTAATAGTACTCCGAGCAGCAATTTCCGAAGACGGACCCTGCACATGTTGTTGCATTTCCGCATTGTCCATTTGTGGAGGGGATCAGGGTGCCGGAGGGGAGTGGCGGTAGAGCCGATGAGCTTGAGGGGACAGTGATTGAGCTTGTGGGCGGCAGTGGCGTGGGAGTTGGCGTTGGTGTGGGTGTAGGCGTAGGCGTAGTGGTAGGCTCTGGTGCTGCATCACCACATCTTCCGAAGTCAGGTTGGCATCCGACAATGACGCCGCAGTGCTAAAATAACCTAAGTCAACATGTAGAACATCGAGGTCTAGGGACATCGCGCACCTCAAACTCAGATCCACAGTAACCATAACTGGAGCAGCATTGATTACCACCACATCTCTGATTACTGAAATCCGCACCGCAACGTCCTACCGCTTGACGAGGCAACAAGTGGTGAAAAGACTGAGAGTAGAGATTTGGTGTTGTCGCATTACGCTTCTCGGACTGTAGTGCGACAGCGTTCTCGATGCCATCTCTGCCGTCAAGATGTGCTCGTGGATGTACGCTGAGCTTGATGTTGAGTGCTGGGTCAATAAGAGCTGAAACTCCTGAGAAGCTCAAGGCCCCTACCAGACTGATCAATGTCCACTGCATGTTAGTCTTTCAGAACGAAATGACAAGGTACCAGGCCAAACTGAAATACCCAGCGAGCAAACCCAGGTATTAATCAGACTTCCACATGGCTTCCCGGAAGCTAGGGAAGGTAATCCAGGCGCGAAGGAGTCACTGGCGTACTCGATATAGCAGATGGGCTCACGGAATACTTGGCTAAGTGCAAATGAGGCTCTTTCGAGCCTATAAAATATGCAATAGACCAATGGAAAGACTCTTCCAAGCCTGTTGTGCAGATTGAAACTGTAACATTTGATGGTCGCACAAGTCTTTTGGGTATCCACGTTATTGCCAATATGGAGGTCAACCGATGGGTATCGTTGTGGGGCCTCTTGCGGCTGCATGTGTTCAAAAGGATGAGGAGACGCTTTCCAGTGGCAGTAAGAAACGATTGAAGCATCATAAACTTGGAACACAGTGATATGATCGACGCATCGCAGCCTCGATCGTGGGTTTGCTGCCATCCTACAATTCCATACGGTGGTACTCATGATTTACGCAAGTTGATGCTCCATGAGACAAACCGAGTGGTGAAGTGGGGCATCTCAAACAGGCTCGGCACCTGTCCACGTGTATACCGTAGAATTAGAAGCCTTATTTGGAAGTCGAAAAAGGCTAAATGTGAATTGCCGGAAATACCGAACGAAGGCCGGGGTTACGATAGTGACAACATGGCAATGTCGGGAAGTGTCTTGCGAAGGTTTCTGGGAAACATGAGGAGTACTGCTCGATGCAAGGTACCATCTATTGTGGGGTTGCGTTACCGGGTAAGTTGGCTCTCTTCTAGAAACTAAGATTAGCCGCTGTAGGCCACGTCGCGCGAGTTTGTCTGCTGACAAGCTTCACTAAAGCGCAATGTATCCATCGTGTATACGGTACAAACCAATCACCCATGCGTTTTGGGCATCCGAGTGTAACATGTGACGTAAGGAGAGCAGGAAGGAAGCGAAGCGCGGTGTCCTAACGCGACCATGACGCGCTGACCTACATGAGATGGACATACCCAGCCACCCGAGCATCTACCAACGAAACCACAAGAAGAATGCTAGGAAAACTTTGGTAGACACGTCAGAGGTTGAACATTATAGTTAAGGGCATCACGCCCTCAATCCTTCCATGAGAGCACCTTCCTCTCTCTTCCCCACAGCCTGGAAGACAGCTCCCTCCCCACCAATATCCAATCCCTTCTCCGCCCTCTCATACGCCTCATCACTCCTGTCCAGGAGGATTTCCAATTCCTCCTTCCGCAATACTTTGCCGCTCTCTGTGCCTTCGACGTCAAACTTCTCTCCGTCGCTCCTTCTAAGAAGTTTCTGCAATTCCTCAACCTCTTGCTCCTTATCATTGCCCCGTGTTCCACCCCGGTCATTGCGTACGCCGCCTTTTCGGATAACAAGTTTCTCAAGCCGACGCTTCGCTTCTGCGGATTCGAGGAGTTTCTGCTCAACGGTATTGCGTGTCGCGAAACGGTAGACGATAACGTTTCGCGTTTGACCGATACGATGCGCGCGATCCATCGCTTGTAGATCTTGCTGAGGGTTCCAATCGCTATCAAATAAAATGACTGTATCTGCAGCCGCGAGGTTGATGCCTTGGCCACCGGCGCGAGTCGAGAGGATGAAAATATCGGCAGCTTCCTTCGTAGACGATGGTTTGTTGAAGGCTAAGATCTGGTCCTGACGATCTGTTTGTGCAACTGAACCATCGATACGGGCATAGTTCCAGGACCGCAGGTCGAGGTAATGACCGAGAAGATCCAAGGTAGTAGTAAACTGGGAAAAGATCAGAACCTTGTGGCCGCGGCGTATCAGTTCGGGTAGAAGTGAGTCGAGTAGAAGCATCTTGCCAGATGTTGTTACGAGTGTCTCATCCGGCTCAGTCTCTGACGCGAAGGTTTCAGCGCCATCCGTATCCGCCTTAATGAAAGGATTGAAAAAGTTGTACGGCGAGTTACAACATAATCGAAGCTGCATGATGGGGTTACCAAGTTTTTTCTGCATGAGCTGACGTTTTGCGATTTCGAACGTTGCAGCTCGTATCTTCTCGTCCTCAGCATCGGAGCTCAACTCTGCCTCCTCTTCCTCAGATTCTTCTTTGTCCAGTCCATCGAAATACTCATCATCACTCACTTCTTCGTAGTTCTTCTTTGACCTGCCCCGGCTTCTCGTTGAGGCGACAGACGCGGGCGTGCCTGCACGAGACGTCTTCGTGCTCTTGTTGGGTGTTGCCCTACTACTTAAAGCTTTACGCTTAAGACCGCCGTTGTTACTGCGAATACTCAAAGGCGTTCCTGCTCGGCTGCTGAGTCCAATACTCAGCCTTTCCACAGCCTTCTCTTCGAGATAGGATCGACTGGTGCCATCAAGGATCGCCTGATACAGCTCACGTTGCATCGAGGTCAATGGCGCGTACAATACGTACTCGCGTTTCTTGGGCATTAAGCTCTCAACGTCCGTCTTGACTCGCCGCAACAGGAATGGCTTCAGTACCGCATGTAGTGACTTCACCAGGTATTGCTGTCGCTCTTCCGACAGTAATTGTTCGAAGCTCGACTTGTCTTTAAGCCCAGAAAAATCGAACCAGCTCTCAAAGGTTGATAATTTGTCGAACACCGTCGGTAGGAGGAAATGTAGCAACGACCACAGCTCTACGAGATTGTTTTGAAGTGGTGTACCAGTGATAAGCAGACGGTTCGCAGATTGGAACTGTTGTAGTTCACGGATCAGCCGACAGTCAAGGTTCTTGATGCGATGCCCTTCATCAATGATGATGAACTGCCAGCCAAAACTCGTAAGGTATTTGCGATCGTTCATGCATATTTCGTAGCTGGTGACCATGATAGGAAAGTCAGCGGTACCCGGGTTTCGTAGCCTGGTTTTGCGCAGTCTTTCGCGCTCCTTCTTATTACCGTGGTATAGCATGACCGGCATGCTGGGCGTCCACTTCTCAAACTCTGCAACCCAATTACTTGTGGTGCTAAGCGGCGCAGCAATCAAGAAGGGTCCATACGACTTGTTCTCCCATAAATGTGCGAGCATGGCTATTGTCTGGATGGTCTTGCCCAGACCCATCTCATCCGCCAGAATGCCATTGATGCCGTTGTTGTAGAGTGATACCATCCACTCGAGTCCTTCGAGTTGGTATGATCTCATGGTGCCGCCAGTGACTAGTTTCGGTTGCCGTGCAGATTTGAGGTCTGTCATGCCAATGTCACTTGTTTTTACATTGTCCTTGCCTTCCTCGGCTGCCTCTTTCAACGCTGTTCCTACATCGTGGTTGCCTGCCTTCTTCTCTAGGTCTTCCTTGCTGAAATAGCTCGAAATGTCGGAGGTCTGCTTCTTCGGTCTCCCACGACCCTTGGTGTCCGATTTCTTCGGCCTTCCCGGACGTTTCTTCGGTGTCGCATCCTCGTCTTCTTCTTTCTTTGCCGTTGTCGTACCGTTGGCCGCAGATCCACGTGTGGCTCTTCGCTGTGATGCCGCTGCCGTTGTGTCAGCAGTCTTTTCGCGCTTCGAGGTTTCGCCGTTGGTTTTCTCGTCTTCCGCGTGTTCTTGTTCTTCCTGCTGCTGCATCTGCGCAAGCATGACTGATGCGTACAGCTGCAATATTTGTCAGCGACTATTTACCACCATACAACACACTATTCAGGTGAACGAACTGACCTTGCTCTTGTTCATCAAGAACTCCAATTGCTGGAACTTCTTGTCCAGAACCTCCCTGCCGCTCTTGATGTCTTCCTGTCTCTCCTTCTCAAGTTTTGCCTCACGTTTCGCGTCATCCTTTTCGCGTTGCGTCCTCATGCGCTGTTCTTCTTGCTGCATCGACTTTGGCACGCTCTCTGTCTCCATGTCGGCCGGTGGTGGCGATGACGCAGGGGTGGAATGCGATGCAGACATTGCGCCCGTAACACGAGAAACAGTCATGTCGCGTATAGTTCAAGATATTATGAAAAGATAGGCCCAATGTGTGAAAGATGGTATTGAATGTATCGCCAGGGGCAGATGGCAATGACCGCATGCAGTGGAACGCGGTCGCGATGAAAGGCGACGACGCGCTAAGCGAAGAATCGATGACGATTGTCGCGACGCGCGATCACGCCTGAACTTTAATTACTCCCCATCCCAATATGCTTGGTTTCGCGTCACGCCTTTGTTTGCAGCATAGCGCCACACGATTGCACTCTCTAGCGTACATGCAGATACTCTATCAGAGCCTCAAGCGATAGAATACAGCATCGTTCGGGTTCTCGTAGTAGCTGTCAACCTCTTCAAATCCATACCCCTCATACACCCTTCTCGCAGTCTTCATGCTTCGTAGCGTATCAAGCAGCATCTCCTTATAACCCAGCTTCCTTGCATGTGAGAGAGCGATTCCCATCAACGGCTTGCTGAGACCCAGACCCCGCGTTTCTGGTGCGAGATATAGCCGCTTAAGCTCGCACGTTTTAGTGGGCGGTGATGTTGAATGTGCTAGCAAAGTCGCAGATTCAACTGTAGTGGGTGTAGCGAAGAATGGTCGGATAGCTATGCATCCTACGGCCTGCTCGTTCTTTCTCGTAGTGCTGAAGCCGGCCTTCTTGCCATGAGTCGGCATTGCCCTGCCATCCTCCGATGCGGGATCTTCATTCACTGCAGAGGAGCAAAGTAGCCAAACCGCCCCTCCTTTCTCCGCTGAGTACTTGCCAGGTAATTCAGCCAATTCGTGGTCGAAATTTTGGAAATCGAGGCTAATGGGCAATGACTGTGCGTACGCCTTGAACAGCTGCCCCACCACCTCCTTGTCGTCTGGGAATTCGGCATCGCGGATTTGGATGTTTGAAAGCTCCGACATATCAAATTGCGTGTGAGGTCTTGAATTGTTGGTGGAAAATGTGGGCTTTGGGCATGAAATCAAGATCGCAAATATAGTCGTAAGGTTGAAAGTCCTGCAACGTGGTCGTACTCAGTTCAAAAGTAGACTTGCCTTCGATGTCTTTCTCGAAGGGCGCAGTTCTAGCCTGTACTAGTTTAATCTCTATCCCCACAATTATATTGGGTAATATTGATGTTCTCGTAGTTCTGGCAAGGGTGGAGCATCCTCTGCAAGTTTTTGCCCGTGTCTGTTCCAGACCAAACCACGCTTCCACCCTGTCTACCGTCATTGTATATACATTTTTTCTGACCGTTCTTCCATCCAATCACGTGGTCTTATGGTCTAGTGGTATGATTCTCGCTTAGTACGTCTTCTCAAAGATCACATCTCCAGTTCTCAACATCTAACAAATCATCAGGGGTAAACCCAAGCACAGCTTGCGAGAGGCCCCGCGTTCGAGTCGCGGTAAGACCCACATTCTTTTTGGCAGTTCTAGCGACCAAGGGTCCTAAAACTGCTCTCTTTTTGCCCGAGCAGCATAGAGGATACAAGTAGTTTGCTCTTTTGTGATGTGGCTTGATCGTATGGTCTTTCTCACACGACTAATAGGTCTCGCCGGGAGTGTTGTGTTGACTCTGACCACCAAACTGTATCTTAGCCGCTTCCGCTGCGCTTCGCACACAAGGCAAAACCTAAAAGAGTGTACATAAACCTTCTACTATCCTGTAGTTTGCAATTGTATATGAGAAGAGCATAAAACATGTAGTATTAATGTCGACCTCTAGCTTATTTGTTTATATAAATAATATTTACATGAGTACTACTGTAAGCTACAGGTAGTAGAAGACATAGGTACGCCTGTTAAGCTCATTTCTTGCATGGGTGTGCGCATACGAGAGGTAATTCGCCTCGTCAGTACCTGGCCAGCTAAGCGCTTCACAGCCTCTGACAACATGCTCTTCCACCTCCACTCTATCTTCCGGACCACCCGCACTCTTTGAAAGTTCGTGCGCATTCGTGCGCATACCTAGGTATTTGCATACTCTCAAGTGTCGACGTGCCTTCTTGCTACCTGCTTCACCATTTCTCCACAGTACCCCTCGTACAATGACTATGCGGCCTGCAACACCCTCCGACGAGCCCGCCATGGCATCCCTCCTGGCCAAAGCATTCTTTGACGAGTCGCTCTTTGGCCAGGTTATGCATCCATACCGCGACCAGTACCCAGATGATGTCAAGATATTCTGGTCAGAATACCTGCGGAAACACTGGAAGATACCTAACGAAAGGCTGTTTGTCGGAACGACGACGGTAGATGGAGCAGAGAAAGTTGCCGGCGTGGCTATTTGGCGCCGAGACGGTGACGACGATAGGAAGCGTAGAGTGGAGAGCGAGTGGGTTGATGTCGGCAAGTGCCATTGTTACTCTCCCAAATCAAACAGGTATACTAACTGCTCTACAGGTACAGATGCCTTTCAGCCCCTTCCTTCAACTCAAAATCGCGCTCTGGACCCCAGTAAGCGGAATCTGTTGGATGAGTCGTTTCCCTACTTCAAGCATCACTGGGGAGGTAACCGCAAAAACAACTGGTATCTCGACCTATGTGGTGTTCATCCAGACTATGCCGGCAAGAGGCTCGGACAAGCACTGGTCGGTTGGGGACTCGATCGCGCAAGAGAAGAGGGTGTCCATGCAAGTGTCACAGCTAGTAAAGGAACCGACCGATTCTATTTACGATGTGGGTTCGAAGAGGTAGTAGGAAATTGTACGCAAGGAGTAGGCAATCCGATGAACAAGGCCGGGGTTGAAGGTGGTGATGTACTGTTCATGTTTCCCAAACGGAAGCAGTAGAATGTAGGCGCGCAAGGACAAGACCGCTCCAAGCATCAGTCAACATCGCATAGCGTCTTCCGGCGCGTTCATGTTAGAATGTCAGGCATTGCATCACGACGCGTCGCGGTATTACCAAGCCTCTTCTCGGTCCGACATATGGACGCATTACTCGCTAGTGAAGCGACCAACCTCATCGACCAATCAACAGGACCGCCAAATCGTACCGAATAATCTCCCGGTGCTTTTGCGGGGAAGTACTTGCGCGCTTTCTTACCATCGTCGTCATTGTGCGGGTAAGCATGAGTAAGTTGAATCTTACTACAGCAATAAAGAATGGCACCGCATGTTGATATCCTCCGGAAGTACCTCATTCATCTGAGCATTCTGCAGCCATGAAACGCTCATCACCCGTTCTGGTGTCTCTCGCAGCACTAACAACAAGCCATATTATCCCTCGTCAAGAGACCATCGACTACAATGCAGCTCCGCCAAATCTCTCCACTCTAGCCAATTCGACTCTCTTCGACACATGGCGGCCAAAAGCACATGTTCTTCCAGCATTTGGACAAATCGGAGATCCATGTATGCACTATACCGACCCCGAAACCGGTCTCTTTCACGTTGGATACCTACATCTGGGTGCATCAGGCGCTACTACGGACGACTTGGTTACTTACAGCGATGTAAACCCCAACTCCGAGCCGTTCATTCGTGCAGGTGGTATCAATGACCCTGTCGCTGTCTTTGACGGTAGTGTAATTGAAAGAGGAGTCAATGGCACACCAACTTTGTTGTACACCAGCGTCAGCTACCTACCTATCCAATGGACGGTCCGGTATACTAAAGGAAGCGAGACACAATCGCTCGCCTTCGCTCAAGACGGTGGAAGCAACTTCACAAAAGCAGAGTTTGGTCCAGTCATCCCTAGCCCCCCATTTGCTGTCAATGTCACGGGGTTCCGCGATCCATTCGTGTTCCAGAACTCACAAGTTGATGGTTTGTTGAACAAGCGGAATGGAACTTGGTATACAGTCATCTCCGGCGGCGTACATGGCAAAGGCCCAAGCCTCTTTTTGTACGCTCAATATGACGATGAAGATGCGGATCTGTTCCAGACCTGGGAGTACTTGGGCGAATGGTGGCATGAAGCGGCAAACTCGACATGGTCAGATGAGGGTTGGGCTGGACGCTGGGGCTTCAACTTCGAGGTCGCCAACTACTTTGCCCTGGACGAGCAAGGTGCTAACGAAGAAGGCGAAATCTTCGCCACAATCGGTGCAGAATGGAGCTACGAGCCTATTGTACCCCAAGTCTCAGACAACAGAGAGATGCTTTGGGTCGCCGGAAAGCAAGAAGTCGTTGACGGTCAACTGAAGTTCGAGCCTACGATGTCTGGACGACTCGATGCCGGGCGCTCGGCTTACGCAGCGGCGGGCAAAGTTTTACCTGCGAATTCACAAGCTAGCCGAGCAAGTGGCGCACCCGACCGTTTCATCACATACCTCTGGTTAACAGGCGACTTCTACGGAACCTTGACCGACGAATTCCCAACTCCACAGCAAAACTGGACAGGATCGCTGCTCCTGCCGCGTGAACTAAGCGTTGGCCACCTCAATGTCGTTGACAACAAACTCTCCCGGGAGAAGGGCGCATGGAGGGTAGACCAGGAACACGACAACGGAACAGTCACCCTAGCAACTCTCCACCAAAAGATCGCCCGAGAGCCATATGCCGCATTTCAAGACAATGCCACCAACGTCATAACGCAAACTGGTGGACCCATGGTGAACGTGACGAAATTCAACGAAAGCCCAAAGTCAAAGCACTACATGCTCAAAGCCTCCATCACCTTCCCCTCGCGCTCCGACTTCCTACGAGCGGGCTTCACTATCCTTTCCGGTTCTCAGGAATCCACCAACATTTTTTATCAGTTCGGTAATGAGAGCCTCATCATCGATCGTTCAAACTCTTCTGCTGCAGCGCAGACTACGGATGGTTTCCTCACTGAGACCGAGACGGGCAAGTTCCGCTTGTTCGATGTTGCAGACGGATATGGAAATGAGACCAAGGTTGAGACTTTGGAACTGACAATCGTGGTAGACGGCGGTGTTGTTGAGGTGCACGCGAATGACCGATTCGCGATAAGTACTTGGGTGAGGAGCTGGTATGAGGATAGCAGAGACATCAATTTTTATGTCGAGGGTGGCGGTGCTACGTTTAGCGATGTGACGATTTACGAGGGCCTGGTTGATGCTTGGCCGGAGCGGAACTAGACGGTAGTAGCCATGATGGAAGTGTTAGTTCGTGATATGTACATCAAGAGTTCCTTAATCAATACGGATAGTAGTCTACTCTTTCCAACTAAACATCCTAATCGGATTCTAGATTATAGTGCATTCCTGTTGATGTACTCTACTGGTCCAACGTACACCTTGCGTCCTTGGATAATAAAGTAAACCAAAGAAAATAATACAACAATACCGTAAATAAGCACATTCCAGTTCATCAACTCAGGTGTCGGAGATCGAAACGTGGGGAAGAAGGCAAACAGCAGCACCACACAGAGATACAAAACAGAAATTCCGTTTACCCAGATACCGGCCATTCCAAGCTGAAATGACAAGGAAGCAAAGTCTCATTCCTCCAACACCTGAGGAACATACATGAAATAGAGATGATGTAGGAAGACAACAACGCGCAGGTACCGAGTGAAGCGATACTATTAAACGCCACGGTACTACCGATATTGATCAAGGAGAGAAGAATTGAAACAGCAAATGATATGATGACGGAGTTGAGTGGTATGTCCCAACCGGGTCGCACTCGCGAAAAGAAAGAGCCAAATGGGACACCATGATCGCGTGCGAAAGCGAACAACTGTCTCGAACATGTTGCAACATTATTAACGCATCCAATCACCGCCATGACTACAGTGATAGAGGCGAGGACAGTGGCACTGGTAGTCGATTGGGTCGCGTTGTATATGATCTGAATACGTGGTTGGCCAGTCGGAGTCGAAAGCACGCCCTCGACGTCTCCAAGACAGATGCAGAAGGTAATGAGCATTATGAAACCTAGACTGCTGTTCACAACTTCTGTCCATATCATGGCTCTTGGGAGTATTTTAGATGCGTCCTGAAGCTCCTCACTCATGTGCATTGCTGGGTCCGATCCAAGTAACAAAAATATGGGAGCGAGTTGACCGACTAGACAAGATAAGCCTATGTTGCCCCATCCGGCATTATCCTGGAATGACCGGAATACCTGGTTGGGAGGACTGCGTGGTCCGAGAACCCACATGGTAATGAAGATGGCGATGAAGCCAAAGATGTGGAGGATTAGCACCGTGCCTTCGACAAGAGGAAGCTTACGTGCAAGAAGCGTGTTGAAAAGAATGGCGAAGCTTGCGACTGCAATGATGAGGAGTGTACCGTGCCAGCGCTCCGGGATGTAGGCGTTGTTGTTGAGAATGATCAAGCCTTGGATCTGACCGCCTGCTAAGAAAGCAATGGATGCGATACCAGTCTGCCATCCGAGAACGCAGAGCCAGCCTGATGTTATTGTCAGGCTACTAAACGCTTATCTATTCTGTCGGGTTTAATACTGACCAACAACGTAACTCAAGAATCTCTGGTGCTCTGGTGGTGCAAACTCAGAGACCCAGTGGTACTGGCCGCCTGACGTAGGGGCCATGGAAGCCATCTCAGCCATTGATGTGATAACAAAGCCCATACCAACCGCAGTGCCGAGGAAGACAAAACTCGCACCACCGGTACCGCCGTTTGGTCAACGGTATGATTAAAGTGTTATCATCCATCAGTCTGTAGTCGTCACACATCAATACACGTCCTCACGTTAGCACGGTCTCCCATGTAGCCATCAAGATCATAGAGTATCCAAAGATGGAAACGAAACGAAAGTTTCTGCGTAGTTCTTGCGTTTTGCCCATCCGATGCATGTCTTTCTGATCTTCTGATGTCCCTATCTTCTCAGATGTGGAAGTAATATTGTGCGACTCGCTGTCGCGAAGTTGCACATTAGTGCTGGTTTTGATTGTGGTCATGTTGTCGCAGGTTGGTGTATCGAGGGCGCGAATATGTGGAAACATGGGCGAATTCGATGACGCTCTACATGAATGAGAGCGCTTGAATAGTCGACGGTGAGAAGCATGTGGAAACCCAAGAGATGTTGCAATGAGAATGCCTTCAAGGATGATTCTGACCAGACGCGAATTTACCCTGAGCATGCAGCAAGTGGTGCCCTCAAACCAGGGTATTGCATATTGCATGTACGGCCAGACTGCTCTTGGCTACACGCACGCGTGCCTGATTTGATCTCCTATCAGTGTAGGCATGTACGACGGTTGAGACACTTTAAGAGGAAGCTAGCCAAAAAACCAGTGGGTCTCGCTATGCGGTCAATTGCGAGCTGCGATCGTTGCCATGCATGGATGGCGAAGCGAGAACTGCCACAGGGCTCCAGGCTGTCAAGATACCATGACAGCCTCGCATGTTCAACCCTGCGTCGCGTGACTAGTCGTGGTGTATGGCGAAGTAACGGAGCTAGAGACGCGTAGTCTGCTGTCTGGTTCCGCGAGGCCCCAATTCGGCCGCTGACTTGTGTAATCCAGACGACTATAGATGCTTCTGTTTCGAGCTCAATGAGAGAACAAGCAGAGTAGTGCAATTCAACATGTCTTTGTTTTTGTGAAAAGGGTAAGGTGGGTGGCGGGGAAGGTTACGTCAGCGCTGTCGGGCACCTCCTTCTGGCTAGCACTGCCGCGGTCGAGCAGGCGCGGTGGCGCGCTCTCATTCGTATGGTCGACTGTACTCGACCATACCAAACTCGCCATGAAGTGTATTTTGTCGAGTCAGACAGTATCTATACCTTCTTCTCTGCAGTGGCTCAGTCGATTGTTATCGAGGTTGCAAAATCTGATCGGGCCCCCAACTCCCTAGTCAAGCGTGTTGCTGCCTGCGCCTGCGCCTGCCCCCAGACGCGCCTTTACAAATCCGCACTACCGTGTCACCATTCACTGTGCCAGAAACAATTCCTTCGGCCCGGATCTACGCAAACCTCGTCATTACGCGTTCCGCTCCCACAACCGCACGCCCAACTTCATCACCCAATACCACACTGCAACCCCCACCAACCGCTCACATATAATGACCATGGCAACAGTCCGCGAAGAGAAGACCCTCTCTGACCTCCCGAATGGCCATATGCGCAACCAACATGAATACTCGTATCGCCTGCCCACAGCCCCCCGCATCGTGGTTCCTCCGCCTACGCTCACGACCGACATGCCCGGCCTGTCTCTTGGTGGCGCACCTGGAGGAGATGTAGACATGGGTTTCTTAAACGAGCTGGACCTCGAGGATATCATACAAAAGAACACACTGCTAGAGTGGGCATATGAGCGGCGGAGACAGGCACAAATGATATTGCCCTGGCTCTATCTCGGACCAATGGTCGCAGCTAGAGACAAGGACTTCTTAGAGCACGAGGGCATCACCATGGTGCTGGCTATCCGCTCGCAGGCCAACAGCATGACGGGCGCAATGCAAGCGGCTACGCAGGTTTGCATGGAGGTAGCCAGCATAGAGTCTCCCAACTTTTATAGCCTTACAGCTAAGTTCCCGAACGCATCGAGGCTTATCAATTCCCACGTCGCGCGGGTACGACAACACAGCTTGGAGACAACAGGAAAGGCCACTCTCGGCAAAGTTCTGGTCTTCTGCGAATCAGGGAATGAGAAATCAGCTGCAGTGGTCGCAGCCTACCTGATGCAGACGCTCAACAGCATTGACCACATCAAGGCTATGCAGGTCTGCCAAGCGCAGCGCTTTTGCGTCAACTTTGACGACGTCTTGAAGAACATCTTGCGCTCATACTGGGACATACTCTGTGCACGACGCTCTATTGCCGCCTCTTGTGCGCAGACGCCACAGCAAAATGGTCTCGGTAACGGCTATGCACAGCCTGGATCACTCTCAGTTTCTTCCTCGTCAACCAAGCAAAAGCGGGGTATTGAAGATACACGAGACGGTGATGATGATACAAACATGGAGGGCGGTATGGATGCGTCGGATATGCTCCGTTTTACGGGGCGCGATGTTACACCTTTCCAAGACCGCTAGGCGGAGTCTCCTGATAGTTGGCGATTTCATTGATTTTGTATCAGGCGTTTACTAGCATTATACCCTGCATGGTCCGAGGCGTTATCTAGCGATGCCTTGCATCTGAAGGCTTGCTTATACCCATAGCATCGCTAGGGGCTCTCACAGAATGAGCAAGCACATGGCTACCCGCAATATTTGGCAGTGGCAACAACTGGACCTGTTCCTTCTCGGACATCTTATTCTAGGTGATTGGGCTATAACCTATAAGACGAGCTTCTTCACATCTCAATAACGGCAGGAAATTGCTGCTACGCTTAGTGGCTACCTTATCGCTAAGACACACATTACTCGCCCGTGGCACTTGCAACATTACTGCTGCCTTAGTGGTCGCTGACCTTCACTCCGACTTCTTAAAGGTCGCTGTTGCACACTAAACGCACGGTAGTTACGATGCGGTGCCTCCGAAATCTAACAGATTGCGGATACTGTCTTTCTTATGGACCTCACACACCAGTGACCCGCAATCTTTCTCGTTTATTACGAATCAAACAGTATCAGTACCCAATCATCGCTTACACCATTACGATCCTAAGAGATGCCATACTCGCTCCGACCCGAGGCCAAGTTGAAGCGACCCGCACGGTACAATGAGACGGGCGACCTAGATTTCAGTGATTCACCAGAACCAAAGTCTGGAAACCGAGACTCGGTCATCGATTTAGATGAGTTTTCCCTCTCAAATACTTTGACCGCAGACCCGAGCACGCCTGAGCCTTCCTCTTTCACCACAGACGCGCTTCACCTCTCACAAACCCCACCGTCAAAGATGGACATATCTGGCGTACCCCGCTCCTCGATTCCAAGTACAATTGGTATCCCGAACCCCCCAAAGTCTCGCAAGATGGCCAACGTCAAGTACGTTAAGAAACGTAGGCGCGAGGATACTCCGCCAGAAAGCAAACGAGCAAGGCGCACCAACAAGGCTGCTCAGCGCGTAGCAGCTTCCTTAGAGGATGAACCTTCGCCCGCCCTTTCCGCACCTAGACCATCAGCGTTTCCCTCGCTGGCGGGTAACGCCCCACCACTACCGTCGGCTACTGTGGAGTTCACCAAACATGGTCTGAGAGAGCTGATGGAGGCTATTGTCGACGAAGATGACGAACGCGTGAGAAAGATCAAACATCAGTTTGCAGTTGAGTATGAGGTGGGCACAGGCTTCTGGTACGAGGATTTGAGGAATAGCTGGCCTCCCAAAATGGAAGAACGTGCAGTATGTCACTTCCAACTTACACGTCTCCTATGGTGCTAATGATGTAGATGACGTTCGAAAATCTATGGCCGCCAATACGCCAGACCATCATCGAGCAGATTCAAGACGACTTCGCCCCGGGAACCTATTTCAGCTCTTTCTATCCAGTACGTCGTATTTTGGACATCACAGAAGAGAAACTTGATGAGATTATGGCTGAGAACGCCAAAGTTTGGGCCAACGACGAAATCCCGTCCTACTTCAAAAATTACAGGGAGCGGTACCCCAAAGCCATCATCGACCCCGATGAGCCGCCGCCTCAATGTGTCGTTGCAGCGATCATATTTCTGAAGCAGCATAGTCTTCCGGGTAGCTTATTGGGTGAGTGGCAGAAGTTGCCGGCAATTGAGGTATTCCGCAATCCTCATGAGTTTCACCTTCCCACCAAGAAAGTTAGTAATGAATTGTAGGAGTCAGTGGAGTCTACTCTGGGCTACATAGCAAAACCAGTAAAGTCTGTCGGTCTGGTTTGCATTCCTCACTCCAAACGTGAACATCCTCACACCCTCTCGCTGTACCAGGCTCTTGAGCTGGCATGGGATATCGAACAGGATGCTATGAAACAAGCCAACCGAAAGCAGCAAGATACCAACAAGCTGTCGCAGCTGTCTTGCCGTGTTTGCGGGCAGAAAGGCCACACGTGGCGGGACCTTGACGAGAATGGAGTGCACAAGGTGAGTGTCCCCATTCCCAGACTTGTTGCGAAGGAGCTTGAAAAGGTATCCTAAAGGTGTACACTCGTAGCATTTTGCAAGTATTGTATCAAGAAGTATGCCGAATACCTTTGAGGTACTTTTTTCGGCATTGGAGTACGACGTAGGAAAAAACAATCTCCTTTGTATTATTGAGATATGTAACAGGCTAGCTAACACTGTGACAAGTGCGCTCAGCGTCGGCAAGAAGTTACCCAACACAACACAGAACTCGAGAACCTCAGCGCGCAAGCATCCGACGAAATCGAAGCCATCACTCAACGAGACCTCACAATGAAAGCTGCCCCTCCAAACTCTACATGGTCAACGTTCAGTCCCATAGACGCCACTCCATATCTCGAAGCCTGGCAAGCAAACAGAGCAAACCCAAACATACACTTCCATCTCCGCCATCGGGCAGGTCCACCTGAAGATGGCCAAACCAAGTATATCAACCAGTTACAAAGAGGCAATGATTCGGACCCAATGTGGAGACGAAATCAATCCACAAGCCGCTGGTCAAGGCCGGCCGCCAGCATGTCCACTTCAGGTGTTTTTGGCAGATCAACAAACCCACCTAGACCACAAACTGCGCCCCCGACCTTAAACCCTCCCCTCTGGCCGAATACCCCCTACCTTGCTCAGCAGCAAGGAATCCCACTTCAACAGCCTGCAATACCCCACATCCCGAAGAAGCGTGGTCCGTACAAGAAGAAAGACGGCAAGGAAGGTCTGGATAGTACTCCGCCGCCAAACAGAGTGGTGGGACGAGATGGCATGGTCTTCTTGAGTAGTTCAAGACACGCACATGATGGGACTGAGTTGCAAAGACGGGTTGAGGTTGCAACGGTTGACACGGGATTGGTGACACCGCCGCTACAGCAGCAGAAGCCACTACCTTTGGCATCGACAGAAAGGGCTGTTGAGACACCTGCGATGGAGAGGCATGTGAGTACGAGAGCAAAGGTCGAGGCGACGCAACAGCCGCTGCTACCACCACCACCAGCAACAGCATTTTCTGAGACAGTTGCGGTATCTACAATAGAGAGCGATGTGGGTGTCAATGGCAATGTGGCTAGTGCTGCGATATTGCCTCCATATTCGTATCAGGTTTCTCTTACGCAGACGCCGGGACGTGTGCCGTTGTTCGAGAAGACGGGAGCGGGTGAGAAGTAGGCATAAGTCGGAGGAGATGATGAGGAGGTTCCAATGATGAATGTGGCGCCGTAGAAGAGAATGGTGTCACGGTCCAAGATTTTGGTCTTGGATTGCAAGATGCGACGACATCGTATCGTTGAGATATTGAACCGAGTATCTCTACTTGGTCATAATGCCTAATATTAATAATATCGTCACCAAGTAATATTTGCATACGATTGAGTAAATGTGCAAATGTTTTCATTCTTGATCCAAGTGGGTATAATGCGTCCGTTATCTATCGTTTCCAAAACCCTCCCCGAACTCCTTACTACCACCTCATTCATCATCTCTCATACAACGTCCAATCAGCTGAACTGATCTCCATGCTCACTCTCGCCTCCAACACGACGGCCAGCTATTCTGCCTTGGCTCAACTTCCACCGCCACCGTCGTTCCCGCTCATCCTTTTCTCTCTGCTCCCTTTGCGCTTTCTTGCGCTCGTATACAGCGCGAACGGTACGCTTTGTGCGCTCGGCGCCTTCGCTGTAGTTGGCGCGAGCGAGGTCCACAACGTTGTCGATTTGCTCGGGTGTGTAGACAAAGTTCCACGTTGACATGAAGTCGCTAACTTTGGGGTCGACACCGGGCACTTTCGGGTTGACGAGGAACGGGAAGTAGATGACCGTTATGCCAGAAGCAGGGTGCATGAGTTCCCAGTCTTCATCCACTTGCTTCGACTCTGGGTGTTCGGTGTCAGAGGTGCGTTCTTCGGTAGTGCCAACCCAGATATTGCAGAAGCCTAGATCTTTACTCTTCTTGCCGCTCTTTTTGTCTTCAGCACTCTTGTCCTTGGCTTCGTCGAGTTTGTCTTGGGCCTGCTGTTCAGTTTTGGCTTGGGCGCGATCGAGATCTTTTTGCAAGTCTTCCATGGACTCGCTATCCGGTGGCCATCCTGCACCGACAGGCCAGCCTTTGATACCACGTTGACGGGCATAACCATCTGCGACCTTCAGCCAGTTGTCAGTCTTGACATCGGCGGAGGCATCGAAAGCAACGAGAATGTCAACGTTGCGTCCGGGTCGGAGAAGTGGATAGATAGGTAGATTGTTGGACATTCCCGCGTCCATGAACTGGAAGTTCTTCTGTTCAAAGATGCTCTCAGGGCACGATGCAGGAAGGAGTTCGCGCATACCGAGAGCGTAGTTAGGCATGGCAGCAGGATCAATGGGATGGACTTTGACCAGATCATCATCACGCTCGGAAATCATGGCATCTATACTGCCGCCAAGACCAGTGAGACTGCGCATGAGGGGTCGGATCTCTCGATAGTAGTGTGAAAGGGTGGCACAGAAGGCAGATCCCCAGATGCCCATGAGCAAAGGAACACGCACTTCGGGTAAAGCTAGGCCATTGTCCCGCCAGACTGTGCGTCCGTTCTCGAACTGGCGGCCCATTGCCCAGGTAGGTATGCCAGCCGAGATCTCCTCACACCACATCTCGTATGGCGTAAATTCGAACCATTGGAACCAGGCCTCCCTTCTTGCCTTTGCTTCGGCAGCGATGACATCTGTGTCTGTTTGTTCGGCCAGGGGAATTTCGTGTCGTACTGCGGTGTAGATGGGCAGGGGATGTGAGCCGTTGTCGGTAAATCGTCGCTGGTTTGAGACCTTGAAGTCGTATTCGCTGACAGAAAGCTCGCCTTTCGGTACGAGCAGACGGGCGGCGAGTAATGCGCCGTAGATGTCCACCAGCCCAAAGTCGGCATCTGGAATGCCTTTGGCCTTCTCCACAAGCCCACTCAAGAGGTACTTGTTAGTTGGCGCGCTGACGAGTAGTTCGAGCGCATCGGGTGGGAAGGCAATGTGCACGCCGAGCCGGTTCTTGAGGTGTCTGATGATGCGAGCGTGACTGCGCTCGGTGAGGTCGGAATAGTAGAGGGTCTGTAGCCAGCAGCTGCCACTGACACCTGCCGTGTAGGTGACGCAATCGAAAAGGCCGTGTTCTTTCGAGGAGAGGTATGATGATGTACCTGCCACAAGGGCTCGCAGGCCTCCACCAGAACCGCACATGGCAATGACGGGTACGTCGTCGGGGTGTATCTGGGCTTCCGGAATGTCGAGGTATCGCGCGAGTGCAGCCTTGGTGAACTGCGCCCTCTGCTTCAGAAACGCCTTTTCCTCGTCACACAGCTCGTTGGAGACCCTCACCGAGGCATCCCATATGATCTCTGGATTGATCTCGGGGTCGTTGGCTTCGTACCAGATCTCTTCGGCGAGGGAACCCGGCGCCATTGAGAGCTCATTCTGAAGTTTGCGAATGAAACCAGGGAGGACCTTGACCCAATTGGGCACAATGTAGTCGATGATGGTGTCGCCGAGCTGGGAGGGTGATGGGGAGCTCGGGAACTTGCTCGTTATCGTCTGCCATGCGGACTGACTTTGGCCGGCTTCCTCATTCTCTCCGCTGTAGCCCTTGGCGACACGTGTCTGGGATGGCGCATCTTGCTGGCCCGATTTTCCTGGATCCCCCTTGTTTACCTGCCTCTCAGCGTCTCCAACCGAAGTGGTTTCGGTCTGTTTGTCATGGCCGCCGCCGAAGAAATACCGCTTGAGAGAGGGCGCATCTAGATGAATTGGTCGGAGGAGTGGGATTGGTGACGACTCCGAAGTGAGATAGCCGGTTGCGAGGGTTGCGAGAAGACAGGGAGGGCCATATCGCAGGCTGAGGGTAGCAGCTTTGGATCGCTGAGAGAGCGGGTGCTTCGTGTGTAGGCTTGTGTTATTAGCATGGGGATATAATGCCGTGATATCCTAGCTTACCCACGACGCGTCCCCCGCAGCCAGAGCTGGCCCAGATTGCGCGTATTCCTATAGCCGGCCATGCGCAAGTTTGGGGGGAAACAAAGGAATTGTTCGTGGTGATGATGCCGTGCGAGTCGGGCGCATGGGAAATGCAAAAAGCCTACCTGGGCTCATGGAAATGCGTTAAGCATGACGGAGCATACAACCTGCTTCGAGGCCCGTAAAATTCCGCCGAAAGCTGGTTTCGGGATGACGCCGATCGAATGACCGCCCGCACAACGTCTGCCAAGCCATGCAGGAACGCTGAACCTGGCGCCAATCAACTCTTGTCTCCACCATCCACTTGTGAAGACATCATTGAAGTTTTGCGACCAACTCGGACCAGCTGGATGAATTGAGTTCTTCAACACCTCTCCAGCTATGTATTTCACCAGGCCCATGTTCCAGGCGCTTTTGCTATCCTTGAGTGTTATCACCTCACAGCGCTTCATGAATCGGTGCGCAGACATATTCGTCACTGGATATCTTCAATGTGTGATGAGATCGCAATTGTATTCGGCATCTTACTGATGGCAGCTCCTCTGGTGAAGCTGATCTCATTGCCTTGCCGAAGACGCAGTAAGGTCTTAGGCTTGTCTCACTTACTTATATATCTCTCATAGCGCACCTCTGACGGCCAGTAAACAGCATCATGTGCGGCTCCATCTCCCTTCTCTCACCTCTTGTCTCTGGCCCGTGTTGATTCTCTCTCATCTAGACGCTATTTGAACCCTCTCTCTCTACTCCTCTAACTTTCTTCTTCTACTTACAACCTCCCTGGATTGACCATACACTGTCCAGGATCATTGACACAACTAATTACCATTGACGGCTCAATCGAGCAAGAATCTCTGATCAGATTCATGCCATCAGTCGAGCAGACCAACAACAGCACACCGCCAAATCACAGTGAAGTCGTGCAAGCAGCACTTCATTACAATATATATCACGCAACCCCTTGCTGGACATGATGATGGGACGAGCAAGAACAACACCGCCTGGCCGAAGCGACACACCTTCCCACAAACGGGACTTCACCGATATGCAAAACACGGCAATCGATGAAGAACTTGCCAAGGACCGCTGGTACGCTCTGAAGCCAGAAGAAATTACCATCATGGTCGGCGACATGTGCGACAAACTTACAATCCCAATGGAGAAGTACGCTTCTATCGACCAACATTTCCAAGACTTCATCCATAGGGCAAAAGCTGCGAAGAAGCTACCTGATATCAAGCCGTTCAGTGTAGCGGTACTTGAGAGCAGGGCATTGGAAAGAGCTCTCTTATCAACGCGTTCCTTGACCGAGCACTCTTGGATCGATCTGGTTCCTCAAAGGCGTGCACCGCTTACGCAACAGTTCTTGAATACAAGCCGGGAGCTAGCGACCACACCACACTGAGCGACCTTCTTGTTGAGTTCTTTACTACGAAAGAAATCAAACACTGCATCAAGGAACAAATCGACCGTTGGGTTGAGTTCTACCCTGGTGTCAACAAGAATCGCCAACCTCTCAATGGCGAAGATGAAAACGACCCAGATGAAGACAATGCTACTCAGGCAACAGATAAGAAGACTTCCAAGGCAATGTCGCGTGGAGCTATTACTGCCAAGGAATTTTTTCAAATCATTTTCGACGTTCAGAGAAACAAGGAAGCCAGCAACAAGCTTGAGAGGATTCTCCATCATACGAATATCAAAGAAGGAGACTTTTTGGATGGTTGCTGCCAACAAGTCGACAATCGGTTCGCACAACTGGCCGTAGAGATGCAGGAAGTAGACCTCGAGACTCGAAACGCGTACTTTAAGAATATCTCCGATAGAAAACTCGGGAAAGAAACAAGCAAGATCAAAGAGCTATGGCCGTTCGTGAAAGTCGTTACCATTTCAACCGGTCATATATTGTTTCGCCATGGTTTACGTCTTTTTGACTTGCCAGGTAAGTCACTGAATCATTGCGCGGCAACATACAGCTAACAAAACAGGTTATGGGGATATGAGCCAGCTGCGTGAAGGGGTCATCAACAGTTTTCGTTGGAAGGCTGACTTCGAAATGGTGGTTGCGCCGTGTTCTCGACTGCAGACCAGTGTTCTGCACGACCAGTACATTGATCGATCGATTCACCTCAAAGGCGCCAACAAGACTATACTCGTCATGAATAAGTCCGATGTGAGTTGTCGCTTTCTTTCTACCAAAATATTCAACTGACTGGACTTCTAGGAACTCATCAATGAAGACAACATGGGTACACAAATCCGACAGATTCACGTACACCCATTCCCAGCTCTGAACGCACGCATGGAGGACATTGACAAGCTTGACGAGGAAGGAAATGCAGACCCCGCGGTCATTTCCGATTTGCTAGATGAGTTACTGAGAGAAGCTACCATCGCCTACATAAAGCATGAAACAGCAAACGTGCAGAGACAGATGCAGCCTAAAGGAATCAAAGTCTTCTCAGTTTCTGCGCTGGCTCACACTTCATCTAGAAGTCATATTCAGAAAGACGGTCCTATCCTTGACGACAAGACGGCAGACATCTACGCCCTAAGACACTTCCTCGCTAAGTTGTCTGCAGCAACGAACTATCAGAACTTCTACGATCACGTGTACGAATCATTACCATCATTTCGAAGCCAAGCTGCAAGGGCCCTAGAAAAGCACATCGAAGACAAGGGCTACGCTAAGATGCGACGCGACCTTAAAGCTCAAATTCAGCCACTTCGAAGCGAACTCAAGAACCTCATTGGCAGTCCATTGCAGTCGCTAGTGGGAAAGCCCTGGTCTAGCGATGAGGAACAGAGTATCATCCATGGCATACAGCAACTGGTGCAGGACTCATGGTGCCATCCATTGATCTACCACTCGGGCTTTGCAAAGATGCTTGCTGAAAATGGCAAGCCGGTCAGCGGCAAGTATCTAGGCTACAACATGAACTACGAACTTCTCTGCACCATGAAAGCGTTCATTGACAAGTGGTACAACAACTTGGATGCGATGATTGCAGGCTTTGCTCAGAGTCTGTTCAGAATCGTTCTGAAACTGTTGGAAGAAACCCGATCGGCTATCAACCGGTCTTCTGCACATGCAGCTTTAAAGCGAAGAGCTACTGAAGAGTTGACTCTTGTACAACGACGCATCGAGGCGGCATATGGCACACTGCTCGCCAGTCTTCGCGTGTCTCTTGGAGAAACTCATCTGCGATTCACGACGGAGATCGACATCTACTGCCCTATAGCAACGGCAATGAAGGAATGCTATCTTCGAGCCTTGGATCGGACCGTTGTCGGGTCGGGTTCAGGAGTCTACAACAGACAACGAAATGAACTCCGCAACTCGATCATTAACCCTGGAACATACCGCTATGGTCCACCTGGCGAGGCTCTGCGTCCGCTTCTCAAGAAGATCGAAGAAAAGATCCAGACTCAGCAAAGAGAGGCATGGAAGACTGGTTGTGAATCGTTCGTGGCCAGCGTCGTGGAGCAAGTTGAGGGATTCTCAAATGCTGCTGAACAACTTCTTATGAACTCCTCTTATGTAACAGAAGAGCACAAGCAGGCTCGTGGCGAGCTGAGAAAGCTGCTTAGCGACTTCGATATCAGCCTTGAGGATGTTCAAGGTCGCTTCGTTGATAGTGAAGAGGAGCATACTGAGAAGAAAATTAAACGCGAGGAGATGGAAGACGAGGTAACAGTGGGGACGCTACCTATTCCTGATCTGCCGACTGCTTCAGTCCCTATCTTGCGGAATGAGGGTTGGACTCAATTCCGCGAGGTGTTTGGTGGCATCTGGCCTGGCCGTTAATGTTCACTTGCGTTCTCCGTCCGAACATGTGGACCACAGGAATTGGCGGAATGCGGTTTCAGCCCTGCTTTCAGTTTTGCTTCTTTGGCGTTGCTTCATGTCCGTGTTTTCCACCAGTCTCAGGCTCGACATGGTCTTACTTTACGACCGGAAAAGTCCAGCTCCCGTCTTTATTTCACTTTTGTTCTTTCGAGAAAAGCCAATACATTGGAAAGCATCTTGCATGCACGGGATACAAAAGGCCTGTGGCGTCTGCGTATCTGGTTAGTTTGCTGAATCTTCAACTGTATACCCCTGTATAATCTGCCTTTATACTTGCATGTGCCACAGTGGCACCCTAATAGCAAGGCGCACACGCCTCGTCGAAACATAGGTGATACGCAGACAGCGGGTTCGCGGTGACAGGCAACGCTGATTAGCGCACCTTACCCGCCGCGATGAATGTCTTTTCGTGCTACAAGGAGTCAGAGGTAGCTCTTCTGTAGCACGGTTTTAGATGTGACAATCGTGTATTACATGCATTCACAATGATTGTCTGGAGTGTGTGGTTTATGGCCATGCGAATGGTGTAGAGGATCTACGCGGGACCCTGGTGGGTCTTAGCGTTGCCTCCGCGACAGCTCTCCGCAAGCATCCCCTCACACATCATTCAACACCGGGGTATGACATTCCCCCAATTGGACATACTTTCGTTGGTATAATCACAGGCTGTACTTCATGTTCGCTTCATTCTTACCCACCCGCTTCATATAATCGAGGTCGCCCTCGCCGCCGCCGCCGTTCACGCGTACACGTAGGCCTCAAGGCAGTTGCGCATCGGCCCAGCAGTCGCCATGGTCGCCCCCCGCAAAGCCGCGCTCCTCGAGGAGAGCGCGGAAGTCGAAGTGCTCTTCGCTAACATGGAGAAGATGAAGACACTCACGAAGAAGATCCAAGGCTCCGTCAACAGGCTAGATGCGAGCGGGAAGGCAGTCCAGGAAGCTATCGGCCCAATCTACGGCAACACCCAGAAGCTGCAGATCGCGAACACAAATGTCGATCGCATAATCGAGGCAATTGAACGACTCCGAGCCCCGCGAGAAGAAAGTGCAAAGGAAGAGAGGATTATTCGCGCTGGACCTGGACGAGGAGACCTTGACGGCTATATTGCGTCCCTCGACCGCACGAACATGAGTCTCGCGGACCTCAAGCGCACCAACCTTCGCTCCAACGAACAAGCTGTCGCGGAGCTTAGTGGGCTCTTGAAAATGGGCAACAAGCAGTTGGAGGACGTGTTCCGCAGCATACTGCAGGATAGCGCCAGAGAAAAGGTTCAGGCGTTGGAATTTGTTGCGAAGCGTACGTCATTAATGTCCTATGATTACAGAAATACTAAGACTGCATAGAAAACCCGTTCCCTCGCATGCCCCAAGAGAAGCTCCAGAGCCTACGCAGCATCAACTCGTACATCTCCAAATCATTTGCTCAACTATCGCAGATCGATCTCTCACAAACTCCCACACGCAGAATATACGCAGACGTCCGGGGCGAATACCTAGAAAGTACACTGAGGAGTCTCATGCAAGCGACAATAAGCACAGCCAGGAAGGTGCAGGCAGACGCGCTGTACAAGAAGGGTACTAATGGTATCGGTACATACGTACAAGCGATAGAGGGTCTGTTCGTGGCCGAGTTTGACAATTTGAACTACGTCTTTGACAGAGAGGAATGGAGCGACGTCTACGAGTCAACATGCCAGGTCCCGCTGCAAGACTTTACGAAAACGCTGCGCGAGTTGAACGGCCATATCCAGAAGAACCTGTTGACGGACTGCTTCCTTGGATTTGAGATTTGCGGAATGGTCCGGACGCTATCGATGCGGCTCCAAAAGCAGACGGGGGCCCTCAAGGATCAAATCTATGACAGTGTGAAGCCGGTCCGGGAGACGTCGAAGATGTCATTGAGCAAGATGCTTGAAGACACAAGGTCACGGACTCAGGGACTCATCGCCGTCCCTATCGACGGCGGTCCCGTCGACATTACCACGCAGACGATGCGACGCTTGCAAGAGATGACCAACTACCTCGAACCTCTGGCGTCGATACTGGCATCCTTGGGAGAGGGCGGTTGGAATTCGGGGTCAGCTAATAACTCGTCGACGACTCTGGATGTTGGACCAGACGGCGTAAAGTTGTTTGGGTCCTATGCGGCTGATACGGTCGACACACTACTACAGAATCTGATTGGCAAAGCAAAGACATTGTTGAAGGGCAAGAACCTACAAGGTGTCTTCATGGCAAACAACATCGCCATCATCACGCGCATCATCCGCTCATCGGAACTCGCGCCACTCATGGACGACTACTCCAAGAAGCTCGCAGACTGGCGTAAGCAAGGCACAGCCATGTATCTTGAAGCGTGGCGTGAGCCATCAGGATATCTACTGGATGTGCAGTACACAAACCGTAGCAAGGAACGGCCAACCTCAGGCGGTGCAGATTCGGCAGCCATTGTGAAGTCTCTCAGTTCGAAAGACAAGGATGCAATCAAGGAAAAGTTCAAGAACTTCAACACTAGCTTCGATGATCTTGTCACACGGCACAAGTCGTACGCAATGGAGCCCGAAGTGCGGAACCAGCTTTCCAAGGAGGTACAGAACATCATCGAGCCCTTGTACAACAGGTTCTACGACCGCTACCGGGAGATCGACAAGGGAAAGGGCAAATACGTCAAGTACGACAAGACCGAGTTGAACAGGGCATTGGCGAGCTTTGCATAGTGCGGTGTGGTGACTGCGGCGTTGGTTTGGAGTTGTTTGTTTGGGACATGCGCAAAATACCCTTTGATTTGCATAGATGGAACGATGACCTGGACATGGGTATTGCAGGTGGACGCGATGTAATTGGATAGGTGTCGAGTCTCGCGTCTCGTGTGCTGTGGTGCCACGCTACAGCAGCGCGAGAGACAGGCTTGGGGAGTGAGACGGCAGTGTCAAAGTTGTGGCAGATAGTCACAATGAAGCGGCGACCGCTTAATGTCGTCTAGTAACGCGCTGCTCGTGCCTTCTAATTACGCGCACGTGACGCTGCCTCTTTGGGAAGCACGGCCCGCGACTGCCTCTTGTAGGAGTGCACAAGAGCACAAAATCTTCAAACAAGGTGAAAGGTGTCAACTGCGTCCCTCCTGCACTCTCCCTCACCGGCCTCTCTGCAATTCGACGTGTGTTGTTTCTAGTGATAGTCCGGCACGCTGCTAGTGGTGACGCGGGGATTTTTGGTCTAGTGCCCATTGCTTCGGCGCTGCTCCAATCGCGCCCATCCCTGTGCGGACCCCTTTCCTCTACCCAGCGACGGACGGCACCACGACTTCCCTTCCCAACGTCGCAGCCTCCGGACAACCACGCCATTTTCCTTCGCAGCCAACTGCACCACTTCAATTCATTGCTTTGAGTGCATCACTCACTCGAGAGCATAACTACCGCTGACTGGTACGCCGCCCTTCCTATACGCCTGCTTCACTTTATTTCTCCAGATTCTGGCTTGGGTCGCGTTGTTACATTTGTCTAGCAGCCACGCCAGCCAGCACCAGCACCACCATCACGCATTGAGAGCCTCCGCTGACATTGCTGCCTCATCTACAGAAGTCCCTCACTTGACGACCCCTCGTCTGCGTTTACTAGACTATTTACACCATGGGTAAGGAGCTTTCCCCGACCCCCGTGTCCCGACATCAACAACTACGCCTGAGCTACGAGACCATTGGCACCTCAGGCACACACGCAGTAGCCAAACGGAAACGTGCACCAGGCTCAATGCAGTTTGACACTGGTCGTTGTTTCCGCGCTCGACGGCCATACCTCCTCTCTCCCTGGCGCCCCTAGCTAACACATTGCTTTAGAATCCGGTGCTACCTCTCCCGCGCCGCCTACCCGTGCGTCCCCATCGCCCCCAGCGTCATCCAGCGGCTTCGGCATGGATCAAACGATGTCGATGTCGATGTCTAACGGCTCCTCTCCAGCGGTCCACACCATCACGGCGAAGAACCCCAAGGCCGCAGCTGCCATGGCCAACGACATGAACATTGTGCGCAGGAAGCTTACAGGCTACGTTGGTTTTGCGAACCTGCCCAACCAGTGGCACCGCAAGAGTGTGCGCAAGGGATTCAACTTCAACGTCATGGTTGTCGGTATGTGTCCCCCCACCCACTGAGTTGTCAATCGGAGCTAACGTGTCATCCCAGGCGAGTCTGGACTCGGAAAGTCAACTCTTGTAAACACACTCTTCAACACTTCGCTGTACCCACCCAAGGAGCGCAAGCCCCCAAGTCTCGACATCTCCAAGACCGTTTCGATACAGTCCATCAGCGCCGACATCGAGGAGAACGGTGTTCGTCTGAGGTTAACAGTAGTCGACACACCCGGTTTTGGCGACTTCATCAACAACGATGAGTCGTGGGATCCCATTGTCAAGAACATTGAGCAGCGGTTCGACGCATACTTGGATGCTGAGAACAAGGTCAACCGCATGAACATCGTCGACAACCGTATCCATGCCGTTGTCTACTTCATCCAGCCCACCGGCCACTCCCTGAAGCCCATCGACATTGAGGTGATGAAGAAGCTTCACACCAAGGTCAACCTCATTCCTGTAATTGCCAAGGCCGACACTGTTACCGACGATGAAATCGACAACTACAAGAAGAGGGTACGTTTCTTTTTCTCCCTTTCCCCTTTTCCCCTTGCTAACAACAACAGATTCTTGCAGACATCGCCTACCACAAGATCCAGATCTTTGAAGGACCACGGTATGAGCTTGACGACGAGGAGACCATTGCTGAGAACCAGGAGATCATGGCCAAGGTTCCCTTCGCCGTTGTCGGTTCCAACACTGAGGTCACGACTGTTGACGGCCGCAAGGTCCGAGGGCGCGCGCTGCCCTGGGGTGTTGTTGAGGTTGACAACGAGGAGCACTGCGACTTCGTCAAGCTACGACAGATGCTCATCCGCACCCACATGGAGGAGC